TATGTTAAATAATACTAAGAAATAATAACTAACTAGAATATATGAATAAAATATAATAATAATAATCAAGAAAAATAGATAAAAAGGAAATTCTATTACAATATTATACAAATAAGTTTGTATAACAATTTTTATTTTTATATAAACTGTCTAAGTAATTTCAAATTATACAAATCATAAGACTCACACTTTATATAATTTTAAATTTTGCAAAAATATTATATAAATACAAACATATATAAAAAGTCATATAATATTGTTTTGTACTATTTAGTTATATGACCTCACATGACCTATAATAATATATAATATGCATTATTATTATACTATACTATAAAAAATATATATATTAAATTACACAATCTTTATTTTCTATATAAATAATACTTTAGACTATACATACATCTTGGTTACACTATATTATAAAGAATACATACTAAGTTATAGATACTCTGCTTTATATATATATAGATAATAATAGCAATAGATTTTAGATTTATTAAATTGAAAAAAATTCTTAAAGAATAGATCAATAATTAAATAAATAGTATAGAGTATATAAAATATAAGGAAAGCAGATCCTATCAAAAAAGAATAAACATTGCAAGTGTTTTAAAAATCAATCAAAAAAACAGAATTCTATTATAAAAGATATTAGTTTACTGATTTTTATTTAGAGTACCATATATTACCGAAAATAAGCAACCCCCAAAAATAAGCAACCCCTCAATTTTAAAAATCAAAAATGAGAAAAATAAAAAAATTTTTTAGTTACCAAAAATAAGCAACTCTCCCAATTTTGAAAATCAAAAATAAAAAAAATAAATAAAATTTTAGTAACCAAAAATAAGCAACTAGTTGTTTCAAGTATCTTAATGCAAACATCTGGCCTTACAATTTTAAGCTTGAAATAACAAATCAAAAAAATCCATTCATATTGATATGAAAAAGGATCACAAAAATAATTTTAAATCTAACCATAAATTAAAAATAAGAATATATGTATTATAGCGAAAATTGGCTATCAAATTCCCACAATTAAATAATTAGAGTAATGATTTTTATGCTTTTTGATTCTTCTTAAAAAGAAGAATCAAATGGCATAAAAATCATGGCTTTAATTACCAGTCAGATGACACTATAATTTTACCAATGTTTTATACTTTATAAGCAGTATTTAATAAATTCATGATATTACAACTGCAAAGCTACTTTTAAGTTTTATTAGATAGTTATAAAAGCTTCAATTAATACACTCTACTTTTATTCACTTGTAAAAACAAGAACATTATTATTTTCTTCAACTACTATATCATGGTGCTCTTGATTTTCATCATGATAATCTTGATCTTCATCATAATCGCTAGACTCAATCTCAATAACATTTTCATCTTGTTCATTCAGAATATCGTGAATTTCAGCATTGACTTTATGAGTTTCACTGCAAAATATTTCATTATAATATATTTCATCATCTTCTGACCCATCCATAGCATTAGAAATGAAGCATTTATGAAATGCACACTGAATAATCTTAAGATCAATTTCTGCCCAGGCAGAAAGCATCCACTCATATATAATATACAGTTCTGCGTGTTTTAAGTTTCCTTTCTTGGTTTTGCTAGAACCACCTTTTATCATCCACTTATGCCAGTAGTTACAGAGTGCTACTTTGAAGAGACGGTTAACAGAAATATCAAGTGGCTAGCACACAGAAGTTAGGCCCCCAGGAATAACAACAAGATCGTTATTATTTTCCTGAAGCTTTATTTTAACATTATCACAAATATGTGCTTTGAAAGAGTCCAAAACTAAAAGGGAAGGTTCATTTTCCTGACTACCTGAATGATTTTCATTATAGTTATCAGCCCAAGTTAACATACTCGATTCATCCATCCATTCTTTTTCGTGAAAATTAACAATTACACCAGGAGAAGGAGGAGGTTTTATCTTAGCCCATCTTTGGCCCTTGAATATAACCAGGGGGGAAGCTTTCGCCCATCAACAAAGCAAGTCAAAACTACAGTAAATCGATTTTTCTTATTACCAGTTATGCGAATATGAACAGTTTTAGCACCAACACATTTCACTGTGAGATCACCAGACATATCAAATCAGACATGAGTTTCATCCATGTTTGCTATATTACTTAGAAGTAGAGGTTGGAACCGGTTTTAATAATTCGGGTTTATCACGTGAATTTTGTGATATTTTAGAATTTATTAAATTTTAATTGGATTAAATTCTAAAATATCACAAAATTCATGTGATAAACCTGAATTATTAAAACCGGTTCCAACCTCTACTTAGGAGATAGTTCCTCATACGATGTAATCAAATTACATATCGTTGAAAATTAAGCAACTGTTCTTCAAGGTCAGCGGGCATTTTTTGTGATATTTTTGTTTTTCGACGTAAAGTAAAATTATGGCATTTTAAAAAATGCTTTAACCACATTGAAGAGGCTTTGAAATTACTTGCGAGTTGTTTTTTTGTAAGATCATTACTCTTTGAAGCGGCTTCAAAAACAATTCTTAACATTTCTAGCTTAAAGCTACTATACATTATGGCAAGTACTGCACTACGCATTTCACTTAACCAACTATAAAGCTGCACTTCTTCTTCTGGAAAAAAACATTTTCTTCCACTACCTTTAAGATAATATGACTTGCTGTATTCGACTTCAGTTAGTTTATCTTTTAGTTGTGTTACCCAATAGCCAACCTGAGACTTATCTAAACTAAACTTTATAGCGGTCTTAATATTGCCTTCACAGAGAGCATATCAAACAACACTAACTTTTTCTTGCACAGTGTAGGATTGATGGGTTCTTTTTTTAAGATCTTTCACCATTTAAAATTTTAATGACAATTTTTTTTTCACTTATAACTACACATTTTTATATGTAAATTAAAACCCCTGATTAAATCAAAACTATAAGTGATTGTTCTAAATGAGGTAAGCGTTCATTTGAAAAATCTTTTATCTATCTATTGTCATGTAGCTATCCATTGTCATGTGTTTAGTAACATCTTTATACCTTCTAAATTAAATCCAAAATGCGAGTTTGGTGCAGTTTTTCAAATATTACTATATTTCCAGAATAAAAATTTTTATGTACTAAATTGGCTTCGTAAATTGTATTAAGCCAACTATATAATATAAGATTGCAACTTTAAAATTCCAATCTAAATTGTTATATTTGCTATTTAGTAATTTTTAATGTTATGACTACAGGAATTACTGAATATATAGTTCAAATAGCCTTTTGCCTATACCCAAATTCGATGTTTTATGAACTTTTACCAAGTCAATAGAGTTTGTTTGGCTTCGTACTAACAAGCATGTTTTAATCTTATCAACCTATATTTCATTATATCATATATATACACAAGGCAAATTTTTATTCATTAAAAAATTACTAATAGCGCACTTTAAGTATTTTTGAAAATAAGCTTTTTTGCAATAAAGATCTTTTAAGTAAAAATTTTTGACATGTGATTGACAACCAATCAAATTACTAACTATGTTGTGATTTGATTAGCTGTGATTGTCACGTGAATAAATAATTTTCTAAGCTTTGAACCTGAAAATAAGCTACCTTCTCTATTTTATCTAGAAAAAACAAAAAAATTTTGGTTGCATATTTTCAGTAATATACGGTAATTATTTAAAACAGTAACTTGTACTAGTAATTATCTAAACTAAATACTATACCACTTTTTGTTTTCTATATTATATTAATTAATAAATATGCTGTTTTTGCAATATAGTAATAAATTTTTTATAATAGCTACCCCTGTATTAATCAAATTTTTTCTAATAATTGATGCCAATAAGATCTCTCGATCAAGTATAATATGAAAATCATATTTTATTGAAAATACTATATATAATTCAAAATTTGTTTATAGAACCATCTATTATGCATAAACAAAAAAATCTTTGTGAAATTTTGAATATAAGCTATTTAGACTATATAGGGTTTTTTATATTAAAAAAACCTATTTTGTAATATAAACAATTTTGAGTTAATTGAGTTTAATCATTTGTTTTAATTTTAGACTAATCCAGAATTAAGCAAATTTTGTGATTTTGATTGATTAAACACTATCAGATAATCTCATGCTATACTTAATCTTAGACAGCTTCATACAATTTTTCTTTTACATTATTTCTATTTTTTATTATGCAAATCACTTTCATTTATAATTGAAAAATGTTAGTCATGTTAAAATTTATATGAATCTAATAAAAACTTATTTTTTCAAAAAATTTGCAAAATATGCACTTTTAATATAAAACACACATATTCTTAACTCTAAGGCTTTATTGCCTTAAAAGAGGATGTCTAAAGTAATATTTCCTAATAATTTTCTTAATTAACTTTAGGGTAGGGTCATCTTATATTAAGGTTAGGTTAGGTTTTAGATTATTATATATAAGCAAACTTGCCTTCCTGAAATCAATTGTTTGATTTGTGTAGATCCTCTGATTGGCGCATTTCCTATAGTTCTAATTGGGTAGTCGTGTTAGTTGATACACAAATAAATTTTTTTTCAGTTTAGATACAGAGCACTACTTAAATACGTACATACGTATGTATATACGTAGGTATATGAAAAATATGCTACTACACCTTTTTTGATAATTTATCTTATAAGAGACAGATTGTCTGATTATTTATACATTTTAGAGTACTTTTTGATAACATGACATTTTATTAATAAAAAATCACCACAAAAGCTATTTTTAGCTTTAAACGAACGTTAATATTCGCTAAGCAAAATAATCTCAAAATAATCTTAATCCAGACGAACTTTGCTTAAAAAACAAAATATATCTACTGTTTATTGGACAATCTTGAATTATATTGAATATACCTGTGGCTGAAATCTTTTAGCTATTTCAGCTACATGACAAATGTTCAAAGCAAAGTTATCAATAATTTTGTAAATGTGATAGAAATTAAGCTTCATATATATTAAGCCAGATTCACTAAAACTTATACAAGACCTTTGGTATTTTAGTAAGACCTTTGGGTATTTTGGCAGTTTCGGCTATATATTAAGTATTGATTTCTGAGTCTGCTGAAATACCAAGAGGTCTTGCTGAAATATCAAAAGGTTTTGTATAAGTTTCTGTAGATCTGGCTTAATATATATAAATCTAATTTCTATTACTTTACAAATTATAGATAACTTCGCTTTAAATATTTGCCATATAGCCGAAATAGCTAAAATACTTCGGCCACAGGTATAATACTAAAATATTAAAAATAAAGATAAATGAAACTATTTTTGTTTAAACTGCCTTATTAATATTAGATTATAAAACCTTTTATTACTAACTATTGAATTTGAATAAGAATAGAGTTACTGTAAAAGAAGTCTAGGCTTAATACTTGAATATATTTGGTTCTTGCATTGTGTTTGGGTCTGTCAACTATAATAGGTTTTTGTTTGAGTTTGGGTTGATTAATAATGAATATTATCACCTTTACTCTACATTACACATGTCTATATATTTGAAATAAATTAGTTCTTTTATATGTTTATCTAATTTATAATTTTATTTGTACAAAGTTTCTGGTAATATTAAAGCAATGAATTAAATTTACTAGCCATACGATAGATAGTAATCCTTGTCGATAATTAAAAAAAAAAAAATTAGCTGGTACTAAAATTTTTGGTTAAATTAGTGTTCCAAAAAGCAAATCAAAGTTTGAGTTTAAAATCAAATATTTGATCAAGTCAAATTTGATCAAATATTTGATCAAATTAAATTCAAATTGATCAAACATGACTGTGAAATAGTTTATGATCATTTATTAGATTGATCGTAAAATAGTTTATGGTTATTTACCCATCTTTACCAACTGCTTACCAAGCAAAAATATTGAAAAGCACAGGTGTGAGTAGTCATATATTTGAAATAATGCTAGATGGCTAAAGGTACTAGAAATAAAAAAAATTACTCACAATATATTCTGCAGACTTAAAAGTTCTTTAATTTAAGCATCTTTGGCCAGCTAGCATTCTTCCAAACATATGACCACTCGCACTTATGCTTTTCAAATATTTTTGCTTGGCGAACAGTTGATAAGGAAGTGCAAATAACCATAAGCTATTTTATGATCAATCTAATAAATGATTATGAACTGGTTCATAGTCATATTTGATTAATTTAAATTTGATTTGATCAAATATTTGATCAAATTTGACTTGATCAAATATTTGATTTCAAACTCAAACTTTGATTTGCTTTTGTAAAGCATCAGATTAAATTCAAAAAGTTTTGAAATAAAATCGACTATTTTTAATCTACTATTATTGTTAACATTTTTTATAGAGGAATCATCAAAATTTCAGGTCAGGTACATCAGAATTAGGATGGCTTAAGTAATGTTAGCCAACATAAGTCTATAGTAAAATTATCAGCTGGGCATTTTTACTTAATGAATGGGCTATAACTTCATTAGTAAAATTTTTAGTGTTCTTGAGCAAAATTAATCAATTCTGAAACATTTGACTAGAATTCTGATGCATTCCGACCAGAAATTTTGG